GGCAGCTCGCCCACCGCTGCGCCGACCGTGCTAGCGAGGTGATCCTCAAAATGAGAGTGTTGGTGAGCCATCCCTCCTTTAAGGGATAAAGAAAATAAGGACTGGGTTATCTCTGCCGCCCAATCCAATATGTTCACCCTTCCATCGGATCCTATTGATCAGCTTCAATTGCCAAAGAGATTAACCCGGCTGCCTCCAGGATTTGTGTTTGGATTACTCTAGAGGAGGAAATAAATAGTTGTATGCTTGCTCAGGTGAGGGAAAATAGAAAGACTGAAGTTATATTTCATACCCATTCACTTGTCTTAGCAGCACATTAATGAATGAAGTGCAGACAAGCTCTTGTGAGCAAAGAAAAGCCCAGCTGGAATAAACAGTTGAGCATGCTAATCCAGTTAGGGGTTCTATATTCATCACCGAGGGTATTGCAATATCATTACTTCATTAAGGCTCAGCTCCACAAAGCAGAAGGAGCAGAGGTTCAACCCGTGGGATCTGTGGTTTCATCAAGCCTGACATCTCTGAGGTGGCACATCATTTTCATCTCCATTTGAAAACATTAATAAAAATTTGTTAGTTCAACATGAATGCTTCAGGAAGTGCCTCCCCAATCCAAAAAAAAATGGAGAGCTTGAATGCACCTCAATTAACTCCTGTTTATTAGGGAAGCAAGCACTTCATTACTGCACCACGGAAAAGGATTACAGCAATTAAAGCCTCTGAAGTGAGCATGGTGGGGTACTGTCCGGATATGCCGCAGGTTTTGCGGAGCTTATGCAAGAGGAGCAGGAGCAGCAGCTCTCCCGGAGGCTCAGTGCCCGCAGGCTGCTCCTCCAGCCCTGCACGACAGCGGGGACACGGGGACAGGGGACCCTCCACCGAGCTCGGGCAGGGCAAGGCTCACCGGGGCTCAGTGGAACTGGACAAAACAGCATCAAACTGCGAGCCCCAGCTCTGGTTTTCTGTGTCCTCAAGAGACAGGTCACTCCTGCTATGAACCAGATGAGAAAACCCAATTCCTACTACTCTGCAATTTTCCCAGATTTCAGCGCTTCAGGTGGATTAAGTTCTGGAAGTTCCAATGTGTTTCACTCTGCTTTCAGTTACAAACCCAGTTCCTTCCCAGCTCGACATGCTGCCTCCAGTTACCTGTCCCTGTGTACAAAGCCTCTGTCCCTACCAGACCTGTCAGAAAGCACAGACGCCTGAGAGGATTGCGCCAGCATCCGAAAGCTGTGCTTGAAAGAAAATCTGCCAACCCACTCAGTACCAGAGCCCCGCAGTACTGAGTAAGAGCTCTGTTTCACCAGCTCAGCCGGTAGCGTCCTCCGTATCCTCTGCCATTTTTCCTCAGGAAATACCCCCTAAGTGGGGGCATTTAACATCAAGCACAGCTTCTCCTTCCACATCTGCCTCTCCTCGGGGGTCAGAAACCCCCGTGGATGACGAGGACACTGGCAAAAGCTCTTGTCTAAAAATAAAAGTGTTTTTGAGCGAGCAGGAGCCCAACTGCTCTCCCTGGGGACACCTCACCGCTGAACGCTTTTCCCACGCATCCCAGGGGCATCTCCGGCTGCATTTCATGAGCACAGAGGGATCCCCCCCCAGCTGTAAATGTGCTAACATGGCACCAATTTTATCCCCAGTTCCCACTGTGGTTTCATCTGAGAAATGCGATTACAGCTTGGGAAATCTCCACATGGCCGCGTTGTGCCCGTCATCCCGGTGGGAGCTTTCCCTGCATCCATCCCCAGCTGCGCCGCTGCAACCTGCTCACGCACATGCTTCGTCTCCAGTCAAACTGGAGCAAAACCCTCTCCAGAGAGCTCACCTCCCGCAAGCAGGACTCGACCTGGCTGCTGGGGACATGGACGCTGCCTGGAATTGTCAGTCAGTGCCGGCAGGTCACCGGTAATACAAGGAAGGGAGCTATGAATTTACTGACACAGATAACTGGAGCAAATTTCCACTCTGGGAACCCTTGTCCTTTCTCCAGCCGAGTGAAGCTTTCGGTGTCCTACAGCTCCTCACGCTAACTCAAAAGCGGCATAAAATCCAGGGTCCCTGCAGTGCAAACGTGAATTTTTTCCTCCCAGTGATTTTCCAAGTGCTTTCCTGGGTGGCAAAGCATCACAAGTCATTACAGCACGGCTTCCAGACACCTTCTCCCATTTGCTCTACAACATACCAGGAGAGCATTTAACAGCCGAGTTTCCTGTCTTTGAACACATAGGAGCGAGTGTTTCTTCCACTGAAGTGACATTATTTTTTAAAACAGGCATCGCTCCCCAAACAGCCCTCGAGGGCTCCGTCCCCCCGCAAAGGGCTGAGAAGCTGCAGGGACAGGAATGAACAAGGTGCTGGGGGAGGGCAGGCAGCCTGGCACCGAAGAACAGCTGAGGATGGGGGTCAGCAGGATGAGCTGCTGGTCTGTCTGTGCCATCCCTCTGGATCCACCTGCAGCCTCCGGAATTAGCAGGGAGTTTTCAGCCGGGGGGAGTTCAGAGGATGGAGAGTGCGGGGAGCGGGCTGCGTGGCAGAGCAGGGGTCAGAGGGATGCAAGTGCAGACCATCAAATGGGAAGGTGACGCTGGGCACGGGGGAAGAAAGAGGAAAGATCCGAGCGGATCTCTGCGGGAGGACAGGATGCGGAGGGAGAGGAGGCAATTCTCAGAGCTCACAACCACCCCCCTACTTCGTGACTGAGTTGTCAGCGCCGCCAGCCCGGCTCTCGGGTTAATCCTCACTCACAGTCCGTTTAAAGGGAGACAACTGGGAAAGCTGGTTGATTTAAGAGTTGTGAGGCACCTGGTGCATCTGAAATGATTTCTCCAGAAGCCCAGGATGCTGCCTGGTCCACAGGGAAGGAGGAGGACTCTGCTACCCTGCGGGTTTCTTGTTCCATCGCCCTCCTTGTGCAGCTCTGCCAAAGCGAGTGTCTAAATTAAAGCACTCTGGTCGTGTTACTGCAGCACACCCACTGCGAGTTGGGGTTGTCTGTCAACTGGAAACAGTTTTTCCTGGCTGTAGCAGTTCCCAGTAGCCTGATTTATCTACAAGGTCTCTGGCAGGACATTCCTGAGGACACAGGCCAGAGGAAAACAGAAGTGGGAGGGCAGCAGCAGGAGTTTATCTGCAGCACTGGGAAGATTTCCATCCTAAGAGGCTGTGCCTTCAGCCTTTTGGCTTTGCAGCAAGGAAGCTCTTTCTGAAGTCCAGCCTGGAATTTCCATCTGATCTTTGCCATCTCTGATCACCTTCTCAGGACCTGTGCAAATAAGAGCTGATGCCTTCAAAACACCTACAGAGAGTTGTCACACCTCTGCATAGTCCTCACCCAGCTGAGCGGGGTCCTGCCCTCCCGGGGAGCGGGGAGGGCCTGTGAGGCATTACAGGAGCTGGTTTGCTCCCTGCCATTAGAGCACGCGTGTTACCCCACGGTCTGGGCACTGGAACGGCTCCTGCCCAGCAGGAGGGGACAGGCAGGTGTGGCACAGCCAGCCAACATGTCCCCAAAACCTGCCCGCAAGGCGGAAGGAGGGGGTTCACACCCCAAACCGAACCAGGACTCGGGGCCGAACTCACTGCCAATCCTGAGCGAAAAATCATCTTTCTGCGCCTTAATCCTACCATCTGTCAGTTCTAAAAACCACGTCCCTTTTCCCCCTTGCCTTCTAGCTGGTGTCTGGTTTTCCTCTTTACACTATAAAGCTATAGTATTCTCTTTATAGTACAAAGCCGCGCAAAACTAAGCGGCAGGGTTATTCCAACTCATTGTCTGGCGAGATGCGACTGAGGTCAGGCCTTGAAGTATTTCCATAAACAGTATTTAAGAAGTAAAATAATTCACACCGCATTCCTTGTAAGCAGTTGCCCGAGAGGGATCTGAGCAAAGCCTGGAGACCTAGTCGGCTCCCGGCTCGGGAGAAGGGAAGGTCACCTCCACAGCTGGGGATATCCCAGGAGCTGCCCCTCCGCTGCTCCACAGACAGAGCTCTGCTGGGGCAGCAGTGAGGGGGTCAAGGAGCGCACCCACCCCTTCACTTGCACAGGGGGAAAGAAAGGGAAGAGCTGGAAGGAGGAGGAGGAGGAGGAGCCCTATACCTCACTTTGTGTCTTAATTTCAGAGCTTTTTTGCATTGTTTCTACGTCTCAGCAGCAAGGTCTGCAGCGTGACCAGAACCAGCGCTATTGATTTCCAATGCCAACGCGCGTACTTTCATTATTACAGCCCCAAGATGTTATTAGATGATTTTAATTAAGGGAATCCCACGGAGCACACGGACTGTACGTGCTCCCCCTGGCAGGGCAGCTGAGTTGCGATAACCAGGTTTAGAGAGCAGGATGCCTGCGATGCCCACACCCCGAGCTGCCCCACCCCAGCTTGCGGGGCATCACCTCGGCTTGGGAAGCGGCACTGGTGCTTCCCCAGCGACAGCACCACCAGCCCCACAGCTCCCACCCCCATCCCCATGACACCTCCACAACTGCGCTGAGCCACCGCACACACAACCAGGGCAGGGGGTCCTTCTGCAGCAATCCCTAATGTCCAGAGCCGGACAGCACCCCGCAGCTCCCCCAGGACCTTACTGGGACCAACGCACCTGCAGCGGCCTTAATTCAGGATTTCGTACAGGGCGTGTGGCAGAGACCCGACAATCGGTTCATCAGGTTCACGTGCTGCTGCTACCCAGCAAGTCCCACTCACCACGGGGCTGGAAGATGCTGGAAACATCTCTTCCAAATAGCCCTTAAATACATTACACACAGCACGAAGAAAGCAATGCACCAACCAGACGCTCAGCACTATAGCAGGGGATGTGCCTGCAGCATCCTCTCCAAACTGGGCATCAGCTGGACTGCTGTACTTCATAATCTTGGTTTTTCTTGCTTAGCTCTCTAAAACTGGAGGTCAAGCTCGAGCCCTGCACCAGCCCTCTGGGAAGCAGCAGACAGGGCAGGGGCACGGTCCCGGTTTGGATCTAGGGCCCAGGCATGGCAGCAGGAGCCCCACGGGGCTGCTCCACTGCTGCTCGTCCCACGCGCGTCAGGAAGAGGGGGAGGATTGTTTTGCCCAACTTGATGTGGTTTCCCCACAGACAATCTGCTCGCTGCAGACCCTCTGCGGAGAGGAGGAACGCCAGCTCCTGTTCACTGCTTTATAAATAGGGTGGGAAATAGGAAACCTTCACTCCTCAGCTTCCCTGTCAGAAATCTCTTCCTTGAACCTGCTTTTTAATTAAGTCAACTTGAGCTCAGCTGCATTTCAAGCTGCTTTTGCATCTCCCACTCACAAGTATCCCCTCCTCCTGAGTTTGCTTAACTTAGTGCAAATCGGTTTTTGCCACTGAATTCATGCTACTCTCAGTCTAGCTCCCAGTTTACACCGTACAGCCATTACATTACACGGGAGATACTGGTTCACCTACAATCAAAGAAATAATGGGGGGGAACCAGCTCCAGGAAAAGAGCAAGGAAGTCAGGGGTTATTTAACATGCTGTGGAAATTCCGTCCGTTTACCTTTCCCAGGCCCATCTGCAGCTTCCTGCCCTGTGCACTACCCCAACAGACCCAGGGCCAGGAGGCTGCGCTCCGGCCGCAGCAAGGCTCTGCTCCCGGTAGCGCGGAGGCTCCCAGCATCGCGCTACCTTCCCAGTGGTCACCAAGTGCCTGGCCAAAACCTGCCTCCCACGGGGCCCGCTCTAGCTACACCACGCTCCCGGGCTGGGAAAAGGGGCTGATCCCTGTATCAGCTACAGGAGAAGCTCCAGACAACAACAATTCTTTATCCAAATACCGTTCAATGAACATACCGTAGACCTACGGGTCTGCTCGGTGCTCTGATCGCTCCCCCAGCCCCTCAGCCTCTCCCACGGCTCTGAAAGGGGCCGCAGGGAGGCGAAACGCCCACCCCAAGGCCACGGCACCCGGAAGGAAGCAATAACCCCGCTGCAGAGGGCGGCCTGCGGGCAGGGGCTGCTGTTTGCTCTCTACTTCAGAGTTCATAAAAGAAGTTCTCCTTCAGTCAGTAGATATTATCCCATTAACCCTTCCAGAGACCTGCCCCCACCCTCCATGCTCCCTGTAGCACTTTGCTCGTTTGTGCTAACGAGGCATGTGTTATTGCTCATGTTTACGACGGGGTGAGGTATCTCATTAATTAGCTCTGCATGAATCAATAGGAGCCGCTGCACACACAACCCTTGGTAATTCATAATGCTGTAGCTGAAGAAAGAGCGTCCTTAGCGCTGGACAAACAGCGATCGCTACGACAAATCTTGGAATTATCACAAAAATCACAGCTTTGGGGGTTGGTGGGAACAATTGAGTGGTTGGGTCACTGCTGAGGAGACGAGTGGTACGGTTACACCCACTGTCACTGATGACAAAGGTGTAGCACCATACAATGACTAACATGCATTTTTAATTGGATTTGAATCTATTAATGAAGTTTTCCTATTCCACCTCCTCTGTAATTGGAACGGTCTTCAGATTTCCCCTCTTCTGAGCTACCAAACTAATAATTTACCCACTTTAATTTGTGATTCACTTAGTTTGTTTAGTCATAATAATGAATATTCAGCTTCATTAGCACATATTTGGTTCAATTCATACTGAAACGCGTTCAGCTCTGTCAGTGTGACAGTTGGATCACTCTGCAGAGCAGCGACTCCCAGCTCCGCGCGGCGACAGGGTGTTGGTGGCACTTGCTGCTTGTCACCCCTCCGGGAGCAGGGGTGGCCTTGCAGGGTGCCCTGCGGTGGGTGCTGCCCTCCGCAGAGGTTGGGGCTGGGCAGCCAGTGCCCCAGGACAGCGCTGGGGGCTGGTCCCCTCTTGCTGCCCCATCCAAAGCCCCTTCCCACTGCAGCAGGCTCAGCATGGATGGGATCAGGCCCCTGCTCTGGTGTGAACACCCAGCCCTGCACACACCCAGTGCCAAACCCTGGGTAGAGGGGCCAGAAGCAAGACAAACCCGTCCCAGGCAGGCAGGGAGCGGGGCAGGGTGCCCCCCGCCAAGACAGGGACCCCGCGCTGCAGCCACCCTGGAGCGAGCGGCGCGTTCAGCCAAAGGCACCAATCCCAGCACCACGTGAGCTGCCTCTCGTGTGCATCGTCTTCTTTCAGGAGATGGCAAAGATTTTTAATAGCTGATTTTGATCATTGAGGGGAATTTAGAATTCCTTCGGTGCCGTCGTGCTGCCGGGCAGTTCCAGCGCGTCCCTTTGCATCCCCTGCTCTGTGTGTAGCTGTTTGTAAACTGCGCGTACAGATGACAGGAAAATAATGAAAGCATTTTTCAGAGCGGACCCTGTTGTCATTCCCCCTTTTTTCCTTTCATTCCTCGGAATAAAGTGCTGCTTTTAAGTCAGCAAATCTTTCAGCTGTAATTACCCTGGACATTCAGAACTGACAATTAAGAAATGGGAAAAAAAAAGAATAAAATAAAGGAAGGTAAAATAACCATTCATAAAAAACGTGTAACATCACACATTTACAAAATGCCTACCCCAGGCAGATCTTTCCCACTGTGAAAGATGTTAGCCAAGGCATTTCTAAAAAACCCTGAGCTTTTGTCCTCAGAAAAGCCCAGGCTGTGCTGTGCAACAGCCTCCCCCTCCCCGGGATGCTAGGCTGCAGGCCTGGGGGCTCCGTTTCACCCTCCCCGCTCCAAGTAACCATCTGGAAATCGATTGGGAAGACCTCTCCCCAAAAATGGGGTCTTCAGTTATTACCCTGAGCAGGGTGAGGAGCAGCTTGGGGAGCGCAGGGGCAGGCGCTGCCCCTCAAGCCCCTGGGAGCAGCCCCCACCCCAGCACACCCAACAGGCACCGCTTGCTGGCCGAGTCTGCTTTCCCTCGCTGTTTAACAACATTAAAATAGAAAGATGAAAGGGCTAAAATAAGTGGCTAAATCTCCCAATTACATCTCTGGCTGCCCCTGAGCACCAGTAGCACAGGGCAGCTGAATCCCTCCGGGCCTTGCCCCCGCTTTGGCACCGCACACCCCTCGGAAACCTGTGAAATCTATTACAGACCTTTGATCTCTCCTACACAAAGGTTCTTCTGTAGAGAGGAGATTGGATTAAGCAGAAACAATTTTTTTCTGGAGAACTCTGTGGGTTTTGGGTTTTTTTTCCCCCTTTCTCTGCTTTCTTTTTTAAAAAGGGTGACAAAAGCAGATGTTAACAGCAAAGACCCGGAGAAGGGTGTGGGATTGTCAGCTCCCGAATGGAATCCATTTCATCAATCAAATTCAGCATCCATCAGCAGCAACTTCTCAGCATGTGGCATAAAAATCTTGTAAAGCTGAACTGTTAAATATTTAGGGCAGATGACAAACAATATGTCATAATATTTGGAGAACTGCATTTGCTATTCAATGCATCATCTCACTTAAAGCCCTGATTTTTGGAAGCATCAACACAAGAATGAGAAACAATCAGTTGACTGCTGGTATTTGGTTACATTGTAAATGAAGTGTAGGATTTAATTTAGATTTCTTAAGTCTAATATTATATGCTACACGCCAGGTGGGTATTAACATTTATTAGCTGGGGCTTAGCAATGAATATTTAAGAAGAATTTAATTAACATGCAATAATTGTAATTTTAATTGGGCTGAATTTTTATTTGAGACTTCATTGCATTGCAGGACACCTTCCATCTCCTATTTCTACCAGTATATTTCTATTTCCAGGGAAAACAGGATGTAATAAGTGGTAGGGAAGGAAAATGGCCAGAGAACATCACAAAGCTCAGCCAGCCAAGCCGTGTGGACACGAGGCCGAGCACTGGGGAGGAGCGCAAGCCCGGTCAGTCTTGCTGCTCCTCCTCGGCAAGGTCCCTCCCTACGTACAGTTTTCCTTCTTACGAAGGAATCCTTATGTTCATTCTCACATGTGTCTGAGGTCACCCCTGGCTTTGGTGGCTCTGTGCTGTCTGATGAGCCCCAGGGCTCCCTCAGTGCAGAGATTTGCATATTCCGCTTTAACGGAGAAGGCAGATTTTCTTTCCAAAAAAAAAAAGCGTTTCTGGTTTTCAACGCCCTGTGTTCAGTTAGCAGTGAATTTTCACAAATTGATCAGTCAGACCCAATTTGCACAGGGATAAGTGAGAAAAGCATTTGCCTGCTCGGGCGGAGGCTCTGCTGTAGCACCGTAATTAATCGCTGCGAGCGCACGGTGTGCGGCGGCCGGGGGAGCCCCGAACTGGCGCGCGCTGAGCTCCGCCGCACGTAATAAGGACAAATCTGAAGTATTTTGTCATCCTGCAAGTTTTGTTACAATCCTGGTCCATCACAGGCACAAGCCTGGATTTATTTCAGTTGCGGCCTTGCTTCTCTGCTTCGTATTTCGCTCGAGCTGTGCACCAGACGGGCATCGCGTCCAACGCTAGATTACACCGCGCGCCAATAAAACGCAGGAGAAAAATCTACTTACGGCTCTGTTGCCTAAACCCTGGATTATAGATCCTTAATAATGTTAAGCCCTCAAAGATAGTTTTCTCCCATATATTACAATTTAAAACGTGCTGATAGCCCAAAGCACAACCATAAAAATGCCATCGGAGCATGCCCGAGTCATCGGTGATTTCCACAGGATCACCAAGGTTGGAAAAGACCTCTAAGATCACCTAGTCCAACCATCAACCCAACACTCCTCTTCCAGCCCAAGTGTGCTGCATTTACACAGCCCGGGTAAGGAGTCGCTGACCCCAGGCGGGCTCTCCGCCCCGACGCGCTGTCCCGTGGGCATCGGACCCGGCGGCGGTGGGCACAGTCTGACCCGGCAGTGGGGTGTCCCAGAGCGCAGCCATCAAAATACTGTGGGTTAAACCCACACTTCTGGCGACCCAGGCATAAAAATGCAAGTGGTTAATTAGTCAAAAGTGAGCCCAAGTATTCAGTGAGGTGTCCGATGACGAGAACGATTCGAACACGAGTGGCCCAAAGCCTGCGAGATCTGCCTTTGTCAGAGAAATAAGCCCATGTAAAAGAAAACCGTAGAGCCCCTGGGAGCCTTTCCCAGCCACCACCGAGGGAAACCGGAGCGACGGGATGTCACTGGGCTCCTTCTGGCAGCCCTGCCCCGTGCGGGTTTCTTGGGCTGCAACTCACGGGTCACTTGTGGAGATCTGCGTTATGCTGTGAGCTGTATCTTGGGTAAATGACATGTTTCCTGGCATTTTCATTGCCCTTATCTTGATGGGAATCTATTCTCAGGAGATTATGATGCTGCCTTTTTTTTTTCTCTCTTTTAAATTAATTGAGCCTGCTTAAAAAACAAAAATGCCCATTTCATTTTAATCATGTATTATGCAAATTAAAAATGTAAATATCATTAAGAAATCTGTTGCTAACTTAATTTATTTCTGCTGTAGCACTGCTGAAGGCCTTTGATCTCAGATTAGCACTTTGATCGGCTCCCTTGGTTGGGGTTACGTACTGCTGCTGCCGTAAAAGCCTTCTCAGATGTTAAACACGCAACGCCAGAACAGCTTGCTCAAAGAAATGGCAGAGGAAACATTGCCAATTAGGCCAAGCGAGCGGGAGTTGGGAATGAGGAGAAGTTTGTTTCTAGGAGCTGCAAACCATGCCCCGGCGCCGCGGGGATGGGCTCTGCCTGCGCCCGGATGCGCCGATGAGGATGCGGATGCACGTGCGCAGCAAACCCAACCTGGGTGGCCCATGGGCCGAGTGGGAATTCCTGGGGGGAGTGGCACACCCTTCAGACTGTCCCTGTCTACTTCCCATTAAAAAACAAGCCACCATAATCTATTAATTCCTCATTTACTGCGAGTAAAGTGCTGATACGCACATTTTAGTTACAGTGGTTTTAATCAGTTAATTTAACCAGAAGCATTAATAATGTATTTCTTTGCCACTTGACTGCTCGTCTGTTAAACAGCTTATACATGGGAGAGGAATGTCACCCCCTGTGACATGAAGCACCTAATACAGTGCAAATGAAACAGCATTTTGCATATTCAATATCACAATGAGAAGAACGAGGGAGACGCCGTCTCTTGGGAATAGATCTGCCTGCTGTGACAGGCTGTCTGTCCTGGCAGGCGGGAAAATCCCTCCTTATGGGACACACACGTTGCGTGTCTCCGATTTTCTGCTTGAATTCATTTTCCTGGCATCGCTCAGCAAGTACCTGGCCTTTCATTATCTGCAAAGCGTGGTGGAATCTGAGGTCCTGGGAATGCTGCTCAGCCCATCAGCTCCTCCCGTCAGCTGCTGTGGGGTCCCCAGGACCCCCCTGAGAGGCAAGCGATGCAGGGGGAGCCCGGCTGAGGTTCAGCCCTGTGCTGATGACCCACAGTGCTGGTGGGGGCTGCCGGGGCCCTGGGCCTGCCCATAGGGTTAAAAATCTGGGGTTTCACACTTGCCTTTGTGCTGGGGACACGGGGAGCCTCTGGCCATCTCGGGGGCCGGCAGTTCCCCTGTACCGCTCCTCCCCTGAGCTCAGGGAAGGGTTCAGAGCAGGGCGAGCGCTGTATCCCCTGCCCTGCATCATGCCTCTTCGGAAGCTGCCTGGGAGTTTGACAAACCGGGCAATGGAACGGGGCGGCCAGGACCCCCCAGCTGGGCTATCCCAGCGGGCAGAGAGATCTCAGAGGGGCTGCGCTGAGCACCCCTTGGCTCCATCTCGCTGCAGAGTACCATGGGCACGGGGGAATCTTCCAGCCGGGCAGGCACAACACAGGCTTCGTGGTGGCAGGGTGGGCCCTGGGGCCCTTGGAAAGTAGAGCTGGAAATACCCTGGACCTAAGAGCCAGAGAAATTGCCAGGAGAGAAATGTTTGTCTGTCCGGGGACAGGCCCAATTCCTTTTTAATTCTTATGAGCACAGGCAGCGTGTGAGCGTAAGCGGTCCAGACACACCGACTCGGAGGTTAACCCTCTTCCTGCGTTCGGAGTCAGATCCCCCTCCTGGGTTTTTAGCAATTAGCATCCAGAGAGAGCAGCCTCCTTGGGCAGGGGACAGCTTGGGGCTTCCTGCACGGAGTCTCTCTTGCGTGATACATGTTTATGAAGCCTGAAATTGCTTTGGAGACGTGGCTGTGCTGCATCACATTAAGCAGTGCCACACTGAAGTGACAGGGCTGATGCATGATCAGCAGCAGTTTAAGGGGACAGGAACTCAGATCCTGCCGCTCCGTTCTTCTGTCAAAAGCAGAAACCCAGTGACAGACCTAAGAAATCATTTCAGCTCCTTCCCAGAAGGTTTGTTTCAGTAAGTTTGCAAGTCCTGTTTACTGCTTTTGCACGGGGCCCGTCCACAGTCGCACTGCAGGGAGCACATCCCGGGCTGACAAGTTCAGCCCCATGGGAGCACGGGGAGGGTGAGGGCAGAGGGCTGCACTGTATGGCCCCGGGGCGCAAAAGGCTCTCTATGCAATAGGCGCTGAAGGGTGGGAGCCCAACATTGCTCAGCTCTGCCCTCCTCACTCCTCAGGTCATAGGATGACTCTGTCTCCGTTGGGAGAAGCCCAGCTGGCATCAGCACCAGATGCAGGGGCTCCGCTCAACGCCTGGCTGAGCAAGGACCAGCCCCAGCTTCGGCTCCAGTCGCTTGTGGAGCATTTGATAGTAGCAGCTCCTTGGGGAAAAGGGGAAGGAGAGATTTCTTGTGAACAAGTCTGTCATTGCATTCCCTTTTTTCAGTGATCTTTATTGCCTCCTGGATTTTGCTGCTTTCAGTATTATTGCATCTGAGGCTGTGACAGTCTCACGCTGACGGGCAGTCTCTGGGTGTTTTAGTTCCATACCCAGGGCACAACTGGATGCTTCTGAGAACTTTAATTCCCACCAGTGTTATCTCATTTCTCTTTATCGGTATAAACACCGGCCCTGGAGGGACCTGGACCATGACAGCGAAATTCTCTCCGCTGGGCGGGTCAGATAAGCAGAAGCATCAGTCCTCAAAGCCTTCCCGGGGAGGCACATGTTGTGAGGAAGGGCTCTCCTCCCATCCCCCAGCCTCGGGGACATGCCGAGCAGCATCCCGGGGGACCAGGCACGGAATGATGCGCCCTGGGCCTGATCGGCCTGTTTGCTAACACTGTCCCCAGAACAGAGCCCGTCGGAAGAGGACAAACCGCCCTGCCGCAGCCAGTCCTCTTCTTCAACATGAGAGATGTTGTGTGACCTCGGAGAAAAACCACATCAAATCCGGCTCCTGGGGCAGGAGAGGTCTGTGCGACGCAGGCAGGAGCTCTCGCGTCCCTGGAGGAGCTCAGGCTGGCTCCATCCTCAGTAAGAGCTATCTCAAAACAAGCATTTCTTCCAGGGTGTCACATGGAAAGAGACTGTCAGAAAGCTGTCTAAATGTGTTAACAACACTGTCAGCGGGGGAGAGAAAAGTGTGATCAGGAAGAGTTGTTCTTCAAAGCTAAGTAACTCGGTGATTTTATAAGGAGCAAAAGATAAGAGATCACACCACACACTGAGGGCGGCTGGATTTCTCTTTCCGAGAATGAAGCTGTTTGTTTTGTTAAAAAGGGGAAGAGGGGAGAAAGTGAAAACCTGAAATACTTTGACTTTCTCGACTTAGCTTTCGACAAAGCTAAAAATAACTCTCATTGCATTCAGCCTGCCCAGCCGCAGCTCAAGATAAGCCAAAGCACTGGAAAAGGATTCCCATCCCATTGACCAGGCTTCCTCCCGGCTCCCCCCTGGGGCCATCCCAGCATCATCGCCTGGAGGTGGGAGGAGGGCAGCATGCCTTGATGCAGGCAGACTTGGGCTTGTTCTGATTGGCATCAGTGGGATTTTGGGTGTTTTGTGGGATCCACATTTTATCCTGAAGAGAGGCTAATTCCTGCTACTCAGTTAAAGCGTGATCCTCTGTTTTGCAGCTGAACCCGCGCCGCGGCAGCGCCAGCCTCCTTCCACGCGCCGGCCCTGCTACTGCTCTCCTGCTCTAGACCTAAAGGAGAGTTTCAGTCATTTGCTTTGGATTCTCCATTTTGAATTTCTAGAACTCCCCGCCCTCAGCAGCAGCGCCAGTGGTCATCAAATAAAATAACACAAACAAGAAGAAGTGAAGTTGATTCTAATTAGTGTGTTTTCCCATATGCTGATTGACAGTCTCTGGAGAGCAATTAGCCTGCTTTACACGTAAAAGACAAATGAATAATTATTTAACCTGCCTGGTGATTGATATGTAAAATCCAAGAAGTCAGAGGTAATACTGGATGACTCCACCACAAAATGTATAGAACTTATATTGATGCTGTCCTGCTTGAGACGGCAGCGACAGTTTGTGCTGAGGCACAGACCTGGACCCCGTTGCACTAAAGGCTGGACAAACATGGCATAAAAATAAGGTTTTGAGGGAAAAACGTACATGCCAACAAACTCGAGCAGGAGCTGTTAAACCTCAGTGTGTGCTGAACAGCCCACGGCACTGCAGTAGGGAGCCTATGGGCTGCATGACGGGTCACGGTCCCCTCCTGCACCAAGTAGGCAGCAAAGGCTCTCGTGAACACCAGGAGAGCGTTGGGTGAGCGACCTCGGCACGGCCGTCTCGTGCCCGTCTGCAAAGCCACGGGAGGTAAAGACGGAAGGAAGGGGAAGCTGGGACCTAGGCAGAGGCAATGCTGAGGAAAGGTTGGCAGCGCCCGGTCGAGTGAGCAGCACCCATTAATCTCCAAGACATGTGAAATAACTTTGAAAACAGGGCGGAGGCAGAAATGGTTTAGAGAGAGGCAGCGACATTAAGGGCCTTTAGTTTTACTCTCTCAGATGAAACTTGTCTATAGGTAGCATATAAAAGTGAGAACTGTTTTGTTGTTGACTTTTTACAGCCTGTTTACCTTCTGTATTTTTACAAGAGTACAGCCAGGGTGACGTCAGTGTCGCAGGACCCACACACGACCCCTCTCTGGGGAGCACGGGGAGAGCTGACCCACTCTGCCGTCTGAGCGCTTGGCAGCAGGTTGCCCAGCTCTGCACTGCTCCATCTTTCCCACTGGGGTTTGTGGGGACGCTGGGGTCCCCCCTGCCCCGTGATCAGCCAGCTGATGGCACCTCCCTCGTTCTCTCAATAGCATGAGCCAATATTCTCCATTTTGCTCAAATGGAAAAGCTGCAACAATTATTTTCATAATTAGCTGGGTTTTCAAATTAATGCCAGTTATGCTATGTAATCATGATGAAGATTATGCATTCATCAGCTGTTTCAAGCCAGTTATTAGGCTCTTTAAATAATGATGGGAATGAACATCTCTGAAGGAGAGGCGCACAAGCCAAGAGGGCTCCAGGAGCCGGGAGCTGCTGCCGAAGGGACGGGGCTGTGCTCAGCACGCCCGGCTGCAGTGTGCATCGGCCGTCGGATGCCCCTTGTCCCCTGGGTTTCAGAAAAGAGAGCAGGCTGCCGCACGGAGTGGCTGCTCTTCCCACCTTAGCAACTGCAGTAGATGTCACATTGTCCCAGTGTCTCCAGAAGTCCAACCAGAAATGCGTTACTGCTGCCAGTCTGCCTTCTCATCGCCTGGCACTAAATTCCAGGTACTGGGTGGCTGCACAGAAAATTCTTTTCTGTCAAAAAGCCTATTATATCCAGTTGGCTGCCTGGAACGTGACTTTATTTGGGATCAAACACCAATAATCCACATACCCAGCCCTTCATTTTATCATAATAAGACATGCTCCAAAGGAACCCTGGAAGCTCTGGGCTAGGAGAAAGCCTAATGTCAGATAATCAATGTAACATGAACCCAGATATCACTTCAGGATGATGCTGGAAAACACAAAATCCCTGGCTGAAATGTTCTGGACCATAAAGCTTTGCACAGAAAGACAGGGACAAATTTAATGCTCACTTTTGTTTATTGTTTCTCCTCTAATACTGTGTATGAAATTCCTCTGCCCTAAGAAACTGATTGGTCTACCAACGTGTCCAAACTTCGATGTGGATGAACCATTTTCCTTGCACTGGTCAATAACCAAATATTTTGGCATGACCCAGTGAGAACGACACACTGGGACAATGTTGCTAGGCTCCTGCCTACACTGCTGGGCATTCTAGTTGGAAAACCTGGTCGTAAGGGTCTTGCTGAAGGCTGCATGGGACTGAAATGGATCTCCAGAATGAGCATCCAGCCTCCTTTTCTTTGTTCTTCCCGCTGTTACCTAGGATAGTAGTGTGAGCAGTGATATTACCTTTTCTACAGAGACATGCAGTGAACAGCTCGAATGTTTTTGGTTGTTTATGAATGTAAATTAATTACCACACTCGCTTTACAGCCGGGGACACAGGTACACAGTGTCTGCAGGGGAGAGGAGGGAAGTGACTTGCTGCAATCACGGGGAGCAGAAAAGTCAGGGGCCTTCTGCAACGCCCTCTGCACCCCGGCTGTGGAGTCTCCCAGCCCTGCGCCTGCGGTCGCTCAGCTCTTGGCTTTGGCCGGGTTCCTGCGAGGACGCACAGAGCGTGGCTGTACACGGAAAGGTCAGCTTGGCTCTTGCCAAACTGGCACCCCTGGCAAACACCAAACTGCCACGAAAACTGCAGATAATGTGTTTGGGCGCCTGGAGGAAGATTCATGCAGTTGCTTGAAAACTAGGCAGGCTGAGTAGGCATCTGTTGTCTCTAACAAAACATTTTAGGTCTACCTTAAATTGAAGAGGAAGATTTTCCTCCTGCTAATGAACCCAGAGACCATCTGTTACCAATTGCACTTGCTTACCTCGCTCATCCATTAATTATTTTGGTTTAATTTTAATAAGATAGAGCAAGGTTTATGTGTCTTCCCGTAGTTCTGGAAGGGGGACGGGCCGGTGCCTACATCTCAGAGACAAGGACACGCAATTACATAATTTACGCCTGCGCTGAGTCACTTCAATTAGAGTGGCTGTCAGTGGGGAACTGAGGACAAGACTCGCAGATACGCAGCCAAGAAACCCAGCGATGCTGTGACATGAGCTTGTTGCCCTTGGGGAGGTGTAATGGCATTAACAACTTCTGAACACGGGAAAGCATGCGTCCAAGATGTGCATTATTGAGCAGATAAGCTGTAGGGTAGGCAAATTCAGAAGTCTCGGCTGGTCTGAATTAGGAACTTGGATAACTAAACATGAGGAACGATAAAAGATGAGAAGGGCACTAAAAACAGCACTAAAAATAGCAAGCGGCAGTGCGGCACTGCCTGCCTCCTGCGTGAGGATGTGGGGATGGGGGACAAGGTGGGGAGGGGTCCAGCAGGGCAGGAAGGGAAGGGCAGTGCCAGCTTCGCCCCACAGCAACTCCACCAGCACAAACCTGAGCGTCCCTGCGGCTGAGCAACCAGCCTGTCCGCACTTCCCAAGGTTTGGTCCTAAAGTTTTATGGGAAGACACTCATCTGCCTCATAAAAATATTCCAAGACTGTAAATTTGTCCCTTGTTGCCCTGCAAAGCTGGCATTTGGAACACTTTCATGGCCCAGCATCTAATAAAAAATCTGATTTAAGGTCTTTATTTCAGCCTGGGAAATGTCCCGGAGCAAGACCTCTCCGGCCTGCCAGCGCCACAGCTCTGTCCAAGAGTTTTCGCATCCTTGCTCCGTAAGAATATGAATCAAACTTTAGGTGGGTTAATGCTGGTGTTGTCTTGTGTTGCAGGAGGAATCTTTGAGTATGCCGACGGCCCCAATACCCAGGTTATGAGTGCTGAGGAGCAAGCCTTCAGATTTTCTGCTAATATTATTAACAGAAACAGAACTTTGTTGCCTAACACAACACTCACCTACGACATTCAGAGGATACACTTCCACGACAGCTTTGAAGCAACTAAGAAAGGTAAGAGCACAGCTCCCTTCCCAGCTCTGGGGCATTTATTCATTAAAAAAAAGGCACGGTTTGGCTCGAGACCCAGCAGCTCATTTTGTCCTGCTCTACCCCAGCGACTGAGATAAGAAGTGCTCCAGGACCTGAACCTCCAGAGGCATTTTAATCTAAGGGGAACAACTATTCTTTTTTCCACCTGCAAACCTCACAAAACTCCTTTCAGTGTTTGCTGCTCACCCTGAGCGAAGGTCTGTAGGCCATGCCTTTGTTTATTTTACTGTCTCCCTGGCAGTTTCAACATCCCTAGTGAAGAAATTCTGTTCTTTTCCTAACAGACAAGCACTTTTTCTTAGCGGGTAAGAGCAGCCCTCTTGAACTGCTGACGGGGAGGGAAGAAATGGGACCACACTGCAAAGGCTGTGGGGCTGATGGCCTGAAGGCTTGAGTTTGCTCCTGGTTTGGGAGAAATGAAACTTGCTGAGCTGGCAGTTAAGAGGGTGTCACGGAGGGAGGGAGGGGGTATCTGCGGGTTCACCATCCCTTTTTAAGATTGTTCCGTTGTGGAGGTTTCCCCCGGCCCTGCCGGGCACGGCCTGGTGCTGGGCTGCGGCGAGCACCCAGGCTGGGTGAGCCGAGCACGGGGACGGGAGAAGGCGCAGGACCTGCACCAGGGACACGTGCGTGTGCCCCAGCGTCTGTCTGCGCTCGTGCCCCTCTCAGGCGGGGAGCAGAGGCTTTCCTAAAATCCTGCCGTGAAATGTAGCTGTCGCAGAGCTCCCGCCGAGAGCGGTACGTGTCAGCATTCCGTCTGCACGGACCCGCAGGGGCAGCCGAGAAATAAACTGCTTGTGTTCCTCTGAAAAGCTTTCACTTACAACCCCTCCCCAAAACTGCAGCCCCAAATCCATTTGGTCGGTTTTAACTTCTCAGTGAAAGATTGAACAAGCTGTGAAAAGCATTATTTTGCAGGAAAAAAAAAAAAAAAAATCACCTATTAAAATTAGGGGGAAAACGCATTTGTCAGGGTGATTCTGATCATCTACAGGTATTTCTTTCACAACTCTGGAGGCTCAGCCATTTCCAACACACTATAGCCCTTATTCCCTCCTCTGGAAACATGCCTGTGCCTCTAACCACCGCTCCAGACCTCCCGCCCCACCCCATAATTCCTCCTCTCTCTGTCCCTGCCTCTCCTCACTGCCGTGATCACCCTGGATCTGTGCTGCTGTTAGTGCCCCGAAGCTTGTCTGTTGTCATCTGCTCCATGGTCCCGGTTGGGGAGAAGCTCTTTGTGCCCCCACACTCGTCCCTCCCACCGAGGTGCCCGGTGTTCTGACAGCATCCTTCCCTTCCCCTCCCTCTGCAGCCTGTGACCAGCTCGCTCTGGGGGTGGTAGCAATATTCGGACCTTCCCAAGGCTCCTGTACCAACGCCGTCCAGTCTATCTGCAATGCCCTGGAAGTCCCCCACATACAGCTTCGATGGAAGCATCACCCTCTGGATAACAAGGACACTTTCTATGTCAACCTGTACCCCGACTATGCTTCCCTCAGCCATGCCATCCTGGACCTCGTGCAGTATTTGAAATGGAGGTCAGCCACCGTGGTTTACGACGACAGTACAGGTGGGTTGAAGGACGTGCTTTACAAAAGGAATCCGGGAGATCTGGTGTTGTGGGTCCCATTTAGGAACTTTCCCAATGAACCCTTTTAGGAATGTCCCCGGATCGGCTCAAGGGGAGCCGGTTCCCAAGCGTGTCGAAGGCTCTGGGCCCCCTGCTGAGGTGTCTCATTCACAAAGCGCTCAGAAGCTGGGTGACCCTCAGCACCCCCACAGCCGACAAAGGGTCGAGGGGAGGAGGAATTGCGGGATCTGGCTCAGCTCGGCTGCGCTTGGCACCGCGGTGCCCATGGACACAAGCGAAGACCTTGGTCCAGGGCTGCCAGTGCCATTTCCCAGCTGAAACCGAAAGCACTTCTAGAAAAGTTTCTTGGTTTTGGGCTAATTCTGTAAACCACAGCTGACACAGGTCTTCCCTACAGAAAGCTGCTGATGGTGAAACAAAGCAAAGCACCGAGCAGCGCTACAGATAAAAACCCCACAACAAAAGACACATTGCAGAGCCTGTCCAACCTAATTCCACCAAACCAAATGGTTTCTTTAGGGGAGGGCTGATGAGAACACAGTTTGACATTCCTGTTTCGCAAATGTGGGTCACAGTATGTTCCCTTCGTGGCATATTCTAACGTATTTCTTCTGCTATGCAAAAGGGACGTGCTTCTCTTTTCCTCCCTGCGCTAGGCACCTGCTGAATTCTTCTTGCGACATTAGGCCAATAATTCCTGCTCAGCTGCATCCAGCATGGCTTAGTACCTTCTGCATAAAAAATAAATGGATTCTAAAGGTAGTAAGAAAGTTACAGGTAGTGATGAAGTGACCATGACAATCTATGCTCGTCATAAATCTAAGTGCATATTCATTTTTACCTTCTGCTGTTGCACATGGTAAATACTGAGGATATTAATTTCTTGTGTGGCTGATTATCACATTCTGTCCTTTCTCAAGGGCATATTTACTTAAGGAAACATGTCATGAGCCCAGAGATTCACAGATTCACAGTGTGGAAGGGGATGGAAGGGACCTCTGGAGATCATCCAGTCCAACCCCCTGCCAGAGCAGGATCCCCTAGAGCAGATCACACAGGAACAAGTCCAGGGGCTCTGGAAAGTCTCCAGGGAAGGAGACTCCACTCCCTCTCTGCGCCGCCTGCTCAGGGCTCTGTCACCCTCACAGGGAAGAAGGGTTTCCTCATGGTCAGGCTGAACCTTCATTTTCCAATTTATGGCCACTGCCCCTCGTCCTGTCCCTGGACACACTGAGAAGAGCCTGGCTCCATCCTCCTGACACCCACCCTTTAGATGTCAAAGCCTAGGACCAACCTGCTATTCCCTTCTTTCTACCTAGTGCAGGATCCCAGCTCTACCATAGGTGGCTGCAGGGAAACACCAGGAAAAGCCATTCTGCTTTGAACAACTGCTCTGGGACTGTGTGGGGGTTTAACGACTGCCACCTTGGCTTTGGTAGACCTTTAGCAATGGCCATTTGAGGGAGGGAGGAAAGCCCTGGCTGCCTTCCGTAACGTAACACGGGAAGCACTAACTTGCTGCGATGCACGGGCGGCGGGGCAGAGGCAGAGCTCTGTAACGCTGTGGGTTTGTCTTTGTGCCGTGCCTGAAGGCCTGATTCGGCTGCAAGAGCTCATCATGGCCCCATCGCGGTACAACATCCGGCTGAAAATCCGCCAGCTCCCGCTGGACACCGACGACGCCCGGCCGCTGCTCAAGGAGATGAAGCGGGGCAGGGAATTCCGCATCATCTTTGACTGCAGTCATCTGATGGCAGCTCAGATCCTCAAGCAGGTGAGCGGGTGCGGGAGGGCAAAGCAGAGGCCACCCCCGAGGGTCCCGTGCCTATGGGGTGGCCATATGGCAAGGAAAGCCCCACAGTCGGGGTGCTGACCTGCACCTCTCCCTCTGCCCCCACTCCCCAGCTGCGCTAAAAGCTGACATGTACATATTTCAAGGATACTACTGGATTTCTCTAGAAAATGTGGTTTTCATTGGAAAATTGGAAGTATACAAAAGAGACTGAGGGTAAGAACAAAGGAGACGGTGTCAAGGGCCGTGTCGGATGCAGCGCCGAGAGCAGGCTGCTGGCCCGCCCTGCTCTGCGGCTGTGCAGCCCCAGCCCTCTCCCTCCACCCACACAGCCCCCACTTCTGTCTAGCCAGGGCATCGGCCAGGACTGCGCTCCGGGCCACTTCTGTCACTGTTCATTTAGCCCTCTACGAGCTTTTCACGCTGGCCGATTTCAAATATCTTCCTTCCCTCCTGTGCTGCTCCATGCCCCAGGTTTGTGAAGACGTGCCCAGGCAGGGCTGGGTACCAACCGCTCTGCTTTGGGTCCGAGCATGCCCGCAGCCCTGCGTCTCGCTGCAAGCAGCCAGCACTGGGCCAGCCGGGGAGGGACAGCATCCTCTGTCCCTTCCTCAGCCCTGTGTGCAGTTCTTGGACTTTAAGCCAGATGTCAGTGATTTTCCATTCATTTGGTCTCTCTCCTTCCTGCCCGAGTTCCTCCAGTGGCATTTTTCGCAGCCCTGAAGGTTTGCTGCTCGCCCCAGCTCCTCCTCATTGCCAAGCGCCTTTAGGTTTCAGGGTCAATATGAGGCAGAGGAAAACGGTCTCACAAAGAATGATAAAAACCAGCCGGTGGAAGTGTTGCTCATATCAGCCCAGCAGGACGCTACCACATAGATTAAATAAATCCCCTGAAGGGCTGAGAAAGCAAGAGCATGGAAAGAGACTCCTCCAGCAGCCCGCCTGATGCGAAATGAAGGGAAGTGTTCAGAGAAATCAGAAAGCCTGGGAGGGATTATTAAAGAAAGCAATATAAGGGACTCATTGTCTCCTGCCTATTATTTTAACATGCTGGCTGTGTTTGGTGCTGTTCACTTATTATGCAGTTTATTATAGTTTATTGTGCCATCTGCTCTGCTCATCGCTGCGAGTGCACAGCGAGGAAGATGGAGGAGAGGGGGGACTAGGGGGAAAGAAGCCTTTCTAAGTCCTTCTGGCTGGTTTTGCGTGGCTGTTGGGTTTTTTTCAGGACCCAAACCCACGGATTTCAGCTCAGCAATGTTACATCGTGTATTTTTATGCAGGAAAGAGCTGTTAGACGTTTCGGAGTTTGGGAAGGTGCAGAGACCCAAGCCTGTCTTGCGGACTCGCACACTCTGAGCAGTGTGCACCACGGCCCTCCTGTCCCTCTCGCTGTTGGCACTCGCACAGACTGAAGAATTAGGAAGCTCAGAAACCTCATCTTTTCCCATTTTTTTTACCTATAGCAAGGAATGCACATCCAGAGGCACCACCTGCATTGGTGAAACAGCTATTTTCTGACCCATAGGATGGGATAGAAAAACAGGCTTCCCGGTCCCTACTCCACACTGCCCTCCTCATGCTCTGCTTTGCACAATCACCGAAAGGAGATGCTGGGTAAAGCCAAACCCATCTCCCTGGAAGAGGGGAGCCTGCTCTCGCTTTGCAGTGTTGGAAGAACACACAGAAAAACCTGAACACCAAAAAATGGCAGGGAAGAATGGCCCAACCTTCTGCTTGACCTGGGAACAAGAACCTTCATCTCTTATTGCTGTTATCTCCCTGTTGCACCATCCTGGTAACTGCCCCAGTTAGCGCTGCAGACGTCCGGCCTTGGGTCTTCGCTCCAACCACGCGAGTCCTTGGAGCCCCTTGGCCGCGCTGCCCGCCCAGGGCAGCAACAAGGTTCTCTCAAGTCTTGCGCTAAAATTTCCACTGCTTGGTACTGAACTGCACGTCTTTAGGTAACTGAAAACAGTCTGAGCAGCTACAGCCAACATTTGCTGGGGGAGCTCTGACAAGCACACGCCGTCATGCCGGGTCAGATCTTGCTCTCAAGTTATTTAAGGGCACATGCTCCCACAGCACATGCGTAGCGAGGCACTTCACTGATAATCTGGGCAGTATTTTTAAACTAGAGTAGTAAAGCTCCCCCCTTATGGATTAGTAATCCACAAGTAACACAAGAGCTGGCACGAAGACGTACAGATGACGTTGCCGCTCCAGTCTGGGTTCCTTGGAGTGACTGAGACATCAAACCACTGACATTTTACCCTCCTGGACAAATAAATCCTTGTAAAAACCTATCACAGAGCTAGGGCTGCTCTTGAGGCCTTCCCATCCTACCCCAGCTTCTCTGGCCTCGCTGATTTTTGGTCACTTGTTAATGCTTTACATCTGCGCTCTGGCTCCCCAGCTCCTCCATTCTCCTCGGCAGCTGTCTCTGAACAGTTGCTGCGCTCTGCAGCACACAGATGTGCCTGTCTTCACTTTAATGGAGCTCCCATTCTCATCCTGGCGATTGCCTGTAGCTTATCCACTGGGTTTATCATTTATTCATTTCCCCACACACCCACATGTATCCCACACGCAGGCTGTCCATCCTGGGCAGCTGGAGTTTGCTTCGTACAGCAGGTCTGGACTCCTCAGCCACTGCTGATCCCGCTGTAGGATCTGAACTGGAATCTCAGAGATCAGTCTCGATTGGTTCCGCATCATCTAATTGGTGCTTCACGTTCCTGGCTCCAGCTCCTCGCACCCGGGTGTACAGGTCCGGAGAGAACTGGGAAGCAGCCCCACAGATCCACTGGCCAGGCAGGGAGGAGGGGGCAGGGACACGCTGCCGCACAGACAGCTGCCAGGCTTTCTGAAAGGAATTTCCAGGCCAGAAATGGGGGGTAAAATCACACTCCAGAGTTATAATATCCAGGCCTGTAATCTAGATCCTTTCCTTTTCCCTTGTTTTTTGACATTTCACTAATTTTCAAACTGTCATTTCCTTCCTCGGAGCTAAATTCTGCCCTAGTAATTTCAGCAAAAACCAAAGAAGCAAACATTTCCTGGGGGGACTTGAAGTTGCTTTCCCATCAGTGGAGATTTTTAAGTGCTCTTGCATGTGTTTCTTCCAGAAAACATGCTCACAGGGTCAGCATCATGGTCAAAACCATGGGTATCTCTCCTTTAGCCAACCACCAACTTCAAGGTGACCCCTCTCACAGAGAGAAATGTGTTCCTCTTGCGCTGTGTTGGGCCTGGACAAGGGCATCCAGCCCACAAACCTCACGGAACAGCGTGTTCTCTCCAGTGCTCAGTTGTGCAAATCCCAGCAATCTGCAGAGCCATCCTTCATGGCAGGGCTGGCACACCTAGAGCCCGGGATGGCCAAGAGCCCTCGGGTCTGGACCACGATCTCCACAGGCTGAGGGATGGGGGATGTACCCACTCCCCAGCCCTGTGCCTCTGCTTTTACTGACCCATGTCTAAACCGGCACTACATTAATCTGGTTATTGAACACGGGAAGGAGGAACACACAGACAGAGGGACGCACAGACGAGAGCTGCATGCTATACAAGTGGACCCTGAAGGGCAGGGGGTGCAGAGCACCAGCAATACACGTGTCAGAAATATAAAGCCTTTCCCTTAGCCTCTTAGCCAGTGCATGGACTTGTAACTGTAAGAACAGGCTGCTTTGTGGTCATTCTGCACAGGTTTGTGTAAGGTGGCTGTTGTTTGGTATCCGAGAAGGAAAGGCAATCCCTTTCTCCCAGCCAAGCTGACAGAGGCAAGCCTGTGACCCTGGAAGATGCTGCACCAGGGTGGCCCGTGAGCACGGCAGTGTGCCACAGCATCCCGTCTTTCTGGGGCATAGCAGCACCCAGAAATGCCACCGGCTCCCATGGGAGCTGGACACCGAGGCTTTGCTGCTGTTTCAGAAAGGTTCCAGGACCACAGTTCAGCACTTAAACACATGCTTCCTGCCGGCTGAGAACAGCTGAACTGCTCCATGGGACTGATCCAGAATCCAGCTTCTGCGTTTCTGGGTCTGTCTCCTGCTGCATTTACCAGAGCAGCTCTTCCCGGGTTTATGTTGCATGACTGTTGTTATATTCTTGTATCCACTCTCACTAACCTCCTCTCCCTGCTCTCCTCAAGGCCATGGCAATGGGAATGATGACAGAATACTACCACTTCATCTTCACCACTCTGGTAAAGTATCTAATATCCGCAAATGCCTTTTATGCTCGCTGCTGAGCTGGAATTGGAAGTGAGGAGGTAGCCTAAGCGGCAGGAGAGCTGGCTGGGCGTTGGGAAAAGCGGTGGAGTGGGAAAAGCAAGGGCAAGGGAGGTCTGGTACCCTAACCAGAGGGCAGGGGGGGACAGCTTTGGGCGCTCATTCTGGGGGACGTCAGTCTTTCCTTTCGCTGCCTGCGAGGCCGCAGTCCCGTGAACAGGATCTGAGGGGACTGGGTTTCAGTCAGCACTGGGTGTGTGTTTCTGTGTGTTCATCTGGCACCCCCTTAAAAGCCAGGAGCAGCCCCGCTGCGGGCAATAGTTCCATACTGCAGGTTTATTTTGCATGAGAAGGACTCAGCGTGAATTAACTGCACTCTCATTAAACATGGGCCAGTTCTTCTCTGACTCCGGGAGGCATTTCGGTTTGGGTTTTTGGCGTGCCGCTTTTGTTTCCATTTGGGATGCTATTGTCTAGGATACTGTTGAATTTTGTGCGATTTTGAAAAATCCAATTTATCTTTTTGCCTTTAGGAAAGGAACAGACTAAACTAACCCTTAAAAACTGCAAAATTTATTTTCAAATGCGAAAGACATTTTAATTACCCCGCTGCCATTATCTATTGCAGGCAGCTTTGCGCATTCCCAGATAACCTCCTATTAATCAGCCCCAGCCGAGCCTCGAGTACATTTCTTGTGTAGGTACAGCCTGGGGGTGGGAAAGAGGAATTATAATAAATTAATAGATAAGCAATCACAATTAATGCCACTTTCCTGAAATAACAGTTATATCATGGGAAAGATATTTTAATCTGTCATTCCTTAAGGCAATGTTTTCCTAGCTCGCAATGCATGTGCTTCAGCTCCTACAGTACTAGACCCATGGGGTGCTAATGAATTAGTCTATTATGTTATACTGAATGTTTCTAAAAGGTCCCTAGTCAATACTGAGCACAGTGCATCAACACTTGGCATGAAATGCTTCGACGTTTTGCTAGGCAGCAAGACTACAGTTCACTGACTGCAGCATGAAGAGCCCCAGCAGCCTTTTCTGCCAGAGGAGGCACAACCTTTGCCTAACGCAGGCACAGCCTGCACAGCCTGCAAGTCCCAAGCAGTGACAACCCTCTTAAACTCAGCACTTCCAGGAGTTTCTCAGCAGCTCGTAAAAATGAGTCCTTGCAGATAGTGCCCTCGCTGCTGGCTCTTCGGGTGGCCTCAAGCAGTTCCAGCGGTCCGGACAGCCAGAAGCGGGAATCTCTTCCCCTGCTGTGACTTGACGTAAGCCACTACTCCCCCATGAGGCACCAAACCAAACCAGCCTGGCCCTCCATGGGTGGGATCAGCAGGTACCCTTGTTCAACTGAGCATACCCGGGGCTCGTGACACGACGCCAGTGTGCTGGGGACTGGGCACAGCAGAGGTACCCCGCAGAGGTAACAGCACCCATTCATGCGGCGCTGTGCACGCATCCCTCCCGTTACAGCCACAGCTGCTCCTCCCAGCAGCCACCCCAGCAAATCCATGCCCAGACAGGGATCCTTGGCAATCCGTGGCCGGCACGTTACCCACGAGCTTTTTTGCACAACAGCAGCCGGAGGATGCCCTTCCGGCTTTTGCAGCGTCCCACTGAGGATGTTGATCCCATGAGGATCAGACCTCAGCACTGCCGCCTACGACCGATGAACAGATTTGAACTGGGGAAGTGGGAGAGCCTGTGCAAGAAGGGGAAAGAGCTGCAGAGAAACACTGAGAATAAAACTTTCTTAAAGGTAGTAGGATGGAGGGGAGAGTTAATGTGGAGCACAGGAAATAGTGAGTGAAAGGGAATGTAGATGAGGTGGGAAACAGAACCAGATGTTTCAATTTGTGGCTGTGCAGGAGCCAAAAATCCAGAAGAAACTGATACAGCGATTCCCACCCTCACCTCTCCATGTTCTGACACTCAGCTCGTATTCCTAATTACCCTCTAATTCCAGGAACTGATAAATCAGGTTGCAGCTGAGATTTGAACTGGAACCAAAAAGGGACCTGAGAGGAGGTTGGCTTCTGTAGGAACTTGGTGAAAAGAAGGGTCAGTGGAGAGGGGCAGGATGGGGAGGGCACCCAAAATCCTGGTGAGATCTGAAAGGTGCCCAGGACAGGAGATGGAGACCATGAGGTCTGGGGCCCAGCGGATCAGATTTGTCACATACGGTCACATTCTGAGGGGGAAAAGATCTGCTTTTGCAACCAAAAATCATTTTCCCACAGTAAATTCCACAATACAACTGGAAGAAAGTTAGGAATACTGAGCAAATGGATCTATCCCACTGGGTCAGGCCCAGGACGGCCCCACACCCTCATTTCCAGATGACATAAGCATCCGTCGGAGGTTAAACCACTGTGTTTGCCCCCGGTTACCGCAGGTCATTTGAAAGTCAACATTACGACCCGGTTTTCACAGTGCCCTTTAACAAACCATGGAGGTTTGTATGTGCAATATTTTCCAGGGAAAAAAGCCCCAACGAAACAACAGAGCCCCTGCACTCTGCTGTGGGTGTGATTAATGGCTCGCTCCCCGGCCGCACCTGCAGACTAAACCACAGCATCCATCAGCAGCACGCCTTGGGGCGCAACGGCAGCGGCCAGCGCTTAAGGAAAAGATCAACCCCCCCCAAGCTTATTAAAGCAAACCAGCTGTACCAATTCCTAGTTCTCCCACTGAAAATGAAGTCTGGGTTGCTGGCAAGTGCCGATTTTGTCACGCTTTGCTTAGGGCGGTGTGGTTTAGGACCAGTGCTTCTCCAGCTCCCCTGAGGGCGGAACAGAGCTCGCTGCACGGGCGCTGTGTCTGGGTGAACCCACAGCCTGGCTACAGCCTACAGCACAGCCACGTAGTCTCATACCGTATTTGAACTCTTCTTAATCCCTTGTGAGAGCAATGAACATCGTTCAGGCTAAACTCCAATTAAGTATGTCCCCTCCAACAGATGGGGAAGCCTAGACTGTCCTTCTCCATCACATCCATTCGTGCTCCCCCTCGGGTCAGCTGCCCAGGGGTTTTGCTGCGCGCTTCAGCGGTGGTGTAACCCCAAACTACTCAGACTAGTTACTGAGCGCTGAAGATAATCCCTGAGCCGAAGTTAATGTCTAGACGTGCGGCAGTGCCAAGAGATGCATTAAAGACACGCCTTGCTGGGGCCTCCGAGTGCCCCTCTCGCTGCCTGCCAAGCGATGCTCGTGGGCTGGCTGCCAGCAGAGCTGAGGGCTGCCTGGCCGTGGGGTTTTTTAATCGTATAAAGGGCACTCTCATTCATTTGCAGACTGTGTAGGCTGGTCGTAATGTCATGAAATGCGTCTTAGTTCCTCTTTGATAGCCGTCTGCAAATTGGCATTCTGCATTCAGAGTCAGTCTGTCGTCTGCAGCACCCTGCGGGCTTCACACTCACAGCAAATCCTCGTGGAAAGGCCCCAGGGAGCTTCGGATACAGGCATTCTTGCCCCCTCTGCCCCACCTTGGTTCCAAGGCTCCTTTTTCATGGTTACACAGAGCAATCCTGGTTTTCTCCCCACAGTTCACTCGCTTCTTACATGTCAAGAGGGAGCTCTTTGGCAGGGGTTTCCCTCTGCTGTGGGAGGGTGAACCCAATGACACCCCAATTCCACCAACAGCCACATGTCTCTGCAAGCAGTGACAGATGGCAACAGACAGTAGAATCCTCCAAATTCATGAGGGCATCGTCCCACCTCCCACCTCCTGCAGGCTCTGCCTTCTCACTTCAAACACAGACATGAACCCATGCAGAAAAGACAAACAAAACAGAGCTAAACAACATGTTTAAACCAGTTTCTCTCTTTGAAGGATCTTTATGCATTAGACCTAGAACCATATCGCTACTCTGGAGTGAACCTGACCGGCTTCCGGATCCTCAACGTGGAGAACCCGCATGTGTCCTCCATCATTGAGAAGTGGTCCATGGAGCGGCTGCAGTCAGCGCCCAAGGCAGAGCTGGGACTGCTCGATGGCGTGATGATGGTATGAGATGTTTAAACAAAGTGCAGATGAAGTCTGGGAGGCGGAGCAGAGTGGTAGGAAAGGCAGGAACATCTGTTAAGGCCTAAATGTCATAGTTACTGGTTGGTGTAACAACTCATCCCAGGTACCTTTCCCAAGGTGGCTGCTTGCATTCCTCAGTAACGGTCCCCCAGATGCAGCGAGATCGGTGCTCACCTTTTGCAGACTCAGCTGCCAACAGATTTTCTATTTTTGAGAGACTGTGCTCCTTCCCGCCCCTCCCTCCTTACCAGTAAAAAGCTTCCTCTGGGACCAGCAGAACTGAAAGCTTTCAGTTCCAGAAAGGGCTGAGCACAGTGAGGAATTGCCCTGGCTATCTCTTGCTGGGAACAAGAGGGAGCTGCCATCAGCTGGATGTTGTACCCCTAGTCCAAGCACAGCCGGATTTCCCTGTGCTCACCTGTCAGTGTTCGCTGACCTGGAAGGGGATGGGCTGCCTGTGCCCCAAACCCAGAGCACCAAGGGAAGGGCAGCCTCTCCCTTCAGCTGCTCTCCACAAGCCCTGTTCCAGCTCCAGGCAGGATGATCGCTTGGCAAGTCCCTCTGCCCAGCCCTGGGAGCAGCAATGCTCCCGTCCCACTGGACCAGCCAGGTAGCCAGGGCCTGTCCCGGGGGGTTGCAGGGCTCCAGCTGCCATTGCCTCCCCAAGCAGAGCCGAGAGCATCTCCCAGGCTGGGAGCACAGCACACGGCTGCACTGGGCCAGGCACTTCGCTGAGATTGATGCTGGGAAAAAGAGCCAGAGCTATGTCCAGAGATGGGCTATGCTGCAGCTTTGATGACTCCTTTTAGGGTCTGATGGCAGCTCTGCTCCGCTGAGTTACTGCTCGGAAGGTACAGCACCTGCTCGCCCATCTGTCTTCCCTGCGAGGCTGTCTCCGACCCCCATAATTGCTGACTGGCTCCCTCCTTCCCTCTCTCTTTAGATCTGCCAGAGTCCACCCCAAGTGGCAAAGCCTCCCAGACTTTCACCTTGAAACGGCTCCTCGTACCCCTCCTGTTTTTTTTTTCCTTAGAGGAGAGCCCCACCACTCTCCTTTAGCCTTCCACTTCCCTGCAGCGTTGCCCACAGCTGCAGCATCGCCCTGCTGGGGTCCCCCCCGATGCTGGCTCCTCTCCCATTCCCTCTTCGCTTCTTCGGCAGGGATGCTGCCTTTCATCTGTGTTTGCCTGGTGTCTATCCCAGCGGGGCCCTGATCTCAGCTGGGCATTATAGTACGTAATTCACCATGAAATTGCTTGGACATACTCTTCTACCGCTTCTCCCCCAGCCCCAAACTGACTAAACCTGTCCCTGCTGCTGCAAATACAAGCCCATGGGACGCAGGCCGGGCACTTGCTCTTCATGGTCGGGTGCCGAGGGAAGGGCAGGTCACGGGGACGGCTGCCAAGGCTGGAGGATTTTCTCCACAGCCATGTCCTGTTCGATATTTGCCCAGTTGCTTGGTGTATTATTTTGCTTTATTGTGTTTTATTATGCTGCTGCTACGCTCACATCTGTTTTGTAGCTTTGTGAAGCCAGCAAAATAATGTATTTTCACTAGGAGGTCTTACCATATCGGAGTGAAAAATAAATCCAATTCTCTTGATCAGTGTTTGGAGGTGAGAAGGAGCATCTCAAATTGAATCTAAAACCATCACATTATATGGAAGAAAAAAAAATAATTCTCCCTAGTTCAAATCACTGAACTGCGAGAAGATGTTACAAATCTGTGAAGTCCTGATTTCAGTGACAGTTTGGGTCATTTTGGAAAATTCCATGCCCACGGACAAGCCATTTAACTTCTCTGTTCCCTATTTCCCCATGTATAAAATAACATGGATAATATGTTCCCATACAGGGCTTTTTACACTCAGACAAAAGAGGCCAAGGAAGACAATCCTGTTACTCCCTCCCACGTTCAGAAACTGCCAGCTTCCTTGTGTGACACTATGCTAGGAACAGCCGCAGACAAATAATGTTTTCACAATCCCTCATTTTAAGGCAGAACTATGACCTTTTAGTCTGAAGAGCCCTGTAACAGCCAAACGCGCCGAGAGGCTCTGCCGCGTGCCGAGCTATGTGCTTCGAGGACGTGTTTTCCATGAGCCGTCAGAGGTTTACACAAGCCTTGCATTAAGGCTGATGCATTTAGGGCAATCCCAGCACGAGACTGGGATCCCAGTGCACCTCGAGAGCCCAGCCCTGCCCTCGGAGCGCTGTTTGTAGGGGTAGACACGTGGGGGGGCAGCAGGGGACCAGGACCAAGAAGCCCCCAGCTCTGCTGGGTGATGGGCAGGGGTAACTCAGAGCGGGTCCTTCCCTGGTGCTTTTTTTCCGAAAGCCTCCTCGCTCCAGATCCACTATGGTCACAAATGCTGTTCCCTTTACTTCAGACAGACGCTGCCCTCTTGTACGACGCGGTGCACGTGGTCTCCGTCTGCTACCAGCGCGCCCCGCAGATGACCGTGAACTCCCTGCAGTGCCATCGGCACAAAGCCTGGAGGTTCGGCGGCCGCTTCATGAATTTTATCAAAGAGGTAAAAGCACGATTTACGACCGGAACTGCTTCCCACTAACGCGAAGCTGCAGCAGCAGCTGCTCGGTGCAGGTCGCGAGGCCCGTGGCGGAGAGGCTTGGCAGGTGTGGGGTTGTAAAAATTCCCTCCTCCCACCCCGGGCAGGTACAACTGGATGGAAGCAGATATACACCAGGCTGCTGAGCACACCCAGAAAGGAAAAATCCCATCTTTGCCTTCAAAATAACATCCGTGCATCCAGGCCAATAAACCAAACCAAGCCGAACTCTCCCATGCTGTCACCAAGACTTGCCCTGGCCTCTTCATGCAGCAAGAGCAGCTGGGCCGCTCTCTCCGAGGCCGTTTCTTAGCAGAGTGATGGCCATTTGCCTCTTAGAGGAACATTTGCTCCGTGTCCACCAAGGGCGTTCAGCGCAGCTCAATCCCAGCGGCAAAGCCGGCAGCGCGGCGCGTCTCCACCTGCGTGCTGATCAGCGGCAGCGGATTTAGCGAGCAGGGAGCCAAGGGAGCGGGGATGTAGCTCCCTGTTTTCAGTCATCATGATTTCTCCCTGTTCAGCCCACGTAATTCTTTGTTTGCATCCGGCTTAAGCACGCAAGCAGACAAAACCAGGGCTGTTTATGAGCAGCGAGCTCGCCAAGCGAGCACAGCGCAGGGAGGTTGCTGAGGGGTGGCGAGCCCTGCGCAGAGAGCCCCCGGGCATGCACCCCTGCACACACCCTCCTGGGGTTTGGCTCTGCCTGCAAAAAGGAGCCCTCACATAGTAAAAAACGGAGGCAGAGCTGCAGGGAGATAGTGCAAACCCTCCTAGATACATCTTTGTGATAAAACCCCCTTATTTACCCACCGGCCCTTTTAAACTTCCGTGCCTGTGTCCCTTAACATAGGAAGTTATGAAACCGGCTGCAGTACGGGATGCGGGATTGGGCCACATTTAAACGGCCGGATATAAGACCCCTTGAAGTTTTTGAACAAAAGGCAGTAGGGCACATTGTGAATCGCTACTGCGATCTGTGCCGCGGTGTCACCTCCAGACCCCAGCGGACCCTGCGTGCAGGCAGAGAAGTGCACCCAGATCGCGCCCACCCCGGGCACTGCCCGAGCTGCTCGGTGTGCAGGGGAGGAGATGGGAAGAGTGATTCCCATTGAAGAGAGACAACGGACTTTCTTCTTAATAGGCACTGACGATGGTATGTCTCCTCTCTCCCCCTTTTTGCTGTTCTGCTTACTGCTGGGGAGCCTCGCCCCAGCTGGCTGCCAAAAGAGAGTGTAAATAATTCGTTTGGTTGGCTCCTTTTGCAAATTACCCTGAGCCTCCACACTCCAGCGCCTGCCTGTTGTTTCCCTTCCTGGCACGGTGTCAGCTCGTTGCAGGGATAAGCCTCCTCCCCGTTGCAATCAGAACACACAGTAATTGCTCTCTCTAAACTCCTGTCAAGACAGAGCAGCGCACAGAGGAGCTCCCCCCTGCCCCCAGAGAACTGTTCCCTCGGCCCTGGGCTCCCCAACAATGGCACCGACTGTGCCGGATCACTCCCCAGGGGAAGCCGTGGGTGTTCCCGCTCGCCTGGGTGCAAAGGGGCTGTGACATCCCTCGGCCCTGGGCTCCCCAACAACGCCAGCACCGTGGCCTCGACTGTGCCGGATCACTCCCGAGGGGAAGCCGTGGGTGTTCCCACTCGCCGGGGTGCAAAGGGGCTGTGACGGTGGCCCTGGGTGCCATCCGGGCTCCCCAGGAAGCAGGGCCTAGCGCAGGCAGGCGGCGCGGGGGTACGT